CCAACTTTCAAGTATCATTAAAATTTCCTACAATACGTTGTCCTCCCTAGATGAAATCAGGATCTTCAAGCTGCGTGTTGAACATGGATTTAAAGCAATTAGTCCCTTTTATAAATTTTGATAGCTTTATTAGAAGACGGAGATTATCTGAAAAATGTGATGTATTTCAGTGTACATTTCGAACAATCTGATCACACATTTACTTGTCAAGTCAATATATGAAAAAAGTTGAATTAAACAAAGTGAAAATAGAAATAAGAATAATTAACACAACGTTTGGTAATCCAGTTAAATAAGGATTACCAAGTGTAATAACAAACTGTTTTTGAATACACAGTGGGGGCTTAAGTTTATGAATAGCTATAGCCTCAGCGTTTTTCAATAAGCGCCCTTGACCGTTTTTATAAATGACCTTAAAGGCTGAGTTAACATCAATCTTATGGTTCATTTCGATTACATGTTTAACAACAGACGAACTTAGTAGTCTGACATCTGCATCTATTAGCTTTTCACAATTCATTTGTTTTTCTAACGGTTTTGGGATATGCTCTCCCGCTGTCACATGCAAAGCGCGATTACTCCCCCCTATGTATGTGTGTCCACGCACACACGAAAATTGGTAAAGAGTGTGAGATGTGAAATAATCACTTGTGCACCTTTGAGGTTTACAGTGCAGCATATTTTTAGCTTTTTCCACAATTACAAGTTGGGCTGCATTGTGTATACATGGGTTTGTTGAGGAAACTTGGTTTGCAGATAATTAGGTAACACTCCACAATAAAATATGATAAATAGTAGTAATAATTTAAAGATAAGATAAGTCATGAAATTGACTCCTAACATATGAGAACATTTTTCGGACTGTACAACTATAAAGTGCGGACTAACTGTTGCTTGTATAGTTTCTGTACATTCGTAGTCTGGTGTGAAATATGAAGGAAAGACTGGGAGTTTTAACTAATAATTTAATATCCGAAAATTATTCTTCAACAACCAAACTATTTTACGCTAATTGAACTTCGTGGTCACTATATTTTTCTTTTAGCTTCATTCCACACTGTATTTTCGGTACAAGTATGGAATTTTCAGCATTTGATATCGGTAGTCCAAATTTTGCAGGCTAACCACTGATATCGGGTGTGCGACGGCAGGGGATCGAACAACGGACCATGTGCATGGTCGGCGAGAGTCCCAACCACTGTGCCACCGACGAAGTATCATTCATTTATACGATATGTTGACAAAGTTGATAAAACCTATCATGTTTTTGGTACTAAAATGCAGATTATGCAGTGTCAAGGTCACAGGACAAACTCCTGAGAGTTTGATTGGCGTAAATAACTTTTTTACTGATTACGAGATTTTGTATTTCGCTTGGCAGTATTTATTGATGTATTTATTTATTTATTTATATTGAAACCTTTTCGTTCATTATTGGTTTCACATTTAACTTATTTTTCCAATTTGTATATGCTTCAAATCACCAAAAGTACCCATTGAGTTACGAAGAAGATAAAAGACAAATTCAAAGAAGAGAATATTCTTTAACGACGAAATCATCTTCAGAGGCTGTACAGACGTATCTCTACTTACAAAAAATATATGGTGGTCTATTATTGAGTAATTGGGGAGTGACATAAATGATATAATTACTCAGAAGTGGCTTTAGAAGTAAAAAATAAAAATTACTTGGTACTCAACGGCACAAAGATAGAAATTTGATAAGGTTGAAATCGCTATTGAGTGAGAATAAAGGTGGTATTTGAGTGTCAGTTCCACAAGCGTGAAGAGGGTGTGAAAATATACCAAAGGAGCATATGAGAGTGATAATAGTGAATTAATTATTAAAGCTAAAGTAAACTAAAGGTAAAATTAAAAATTTAAAAAGAAGAGAAAAAATTAAAATTTGTTTACAGGGAATGACTAGTGAAGAGGTATAAGACCAAGGTAGAATAAGAGACTGGACAAGCATTTTCTGTATACAGAGTTCGGGGTTGTCTTGATGAATTGCCAGCGCCTCTCCCATACACAAAAGCGGAAAACTGACGCTCTGTTTACTATTTGGCCTCACCTCGTAGATAATCTTGAAAGACGACTCTGGTGGAGCTACGTGGTCAGAGTTCACCAAGTGCTCGAAAATTGAGCTAGCAATTGTTTTGCATTGTCCTTTTGTTAACCATGGCGAATAACGTTCAGAGATGCATTTGGAAAGTGTGAGCTTTGTGCGACCAATATAACTAGCTCTACACGAGCAGGTGAGCTTACAAATAGACATTGAGGTGGCCCAAAGCGGCAGTTTGTCCTTCACACATCCATTGATCATTTGTCGGCTATGGAAATTGATATGTAGCTCAGCCATAAAGAAGAACCATAAATTATGGTTCTCTGATTTCAATAAGTGTTTTATTGTAAATTGCCTAAAACAAGTTATCACATTTAAAATAACGCGTTTAAATCAAGAGATAAACTTAAACAAAACTCCATGCTTTTATGTCAGTCCAATTCACTAACTACCCTATCATTTAGGTATTTCTGTCACCTATACTCCTGGAATTTCTAAACTAAAACTCAGCAAAATAAATGAGATGTCTACAAAAATGCAATGACTGAAGTTCTAGGATGCTTGAGTCATTTTCTCTGGAAAAAAACAGCTTTCAGTCATAAAGAAACTGATACCTTAACTTAAACAGCGATATACGGTTGTAATTATGAAGTGTCACCCGTTACGATGGAATAAAACAAAAGAAAACTCTAGTTTTCCTGAATTTCCATCGAAACTTGAGTGACGTAGAGAATATAGACAACTCTGTTGTTTAGTTTTAAATGTACGTGACAGATAGATTAGATTTTATTTGTTACTGATCTGATATATCACGTGCCACCAACAGTATGAGAATACGAAAGGATTATGCATTATACAGAGTTAAAATACAACAAATCACTCTGGATTACACTTTCCTGGATCACTTTCCTAACATGAGAAGCAAGTTGACGCGATGTTTTATAGATTTTTCTTTTTCTTATTGATGTGTTTAAAGATGTAACTGATCCACTGAGATACCTGTATTGGTTATTAGTGAACAGTTCATCCCAAGCAAATTACTAAGCTGCATCATTCGGGAGAGAATCAAACACTCTTACACCGGAACAGGATGTATTCAGGGGGAACAAGTCGTGCATCCATCAAATTGCAACACTAATTATCATCATTTAGCAGAGCTTGAAATGGTAGTGACCTCTTTGCCTCACTCAACTTCATTGACAGACAGCGTCGATCGAGAGGTGATTTGGAAACTACTTCGTTTCCACCGCTGACAATCATACATCTCATCCAACATTTATATGACAATGCTACATGCTTAGTAGTGCACAACGGGAAACTCAAGGAATCCTTCGAAGTGAAGACGGGAGTAAGACAAGACGATATATATAGATATATTCTGATTTCCCACAAACTGGAAGATATGCGAATGAAATCAACAAGTTGGCAAAAGAAGCATCCAGAGAAGATAGGACTTCAGGTGAGCATGGAGAAAACAGATGTGATGAAGATTCCTGGCCAACAGCAACAAGAACAGACAACAATCAGAATAAATGGAAGAAATCTGAAAGAAGCAATCTCCTCCACCTACCTACCTAGGAAACATCGTTAAAACTACAGTCAAACGGAACTAACGAGGATATCAAAGCAAGGAAAGCCTTCATTTCTCTCAAGTCTGTATGGAGATCAACAGCACTTGGCATGAAAAATGACATCCGGATTTTCAAATCTAATGTGAGGTCAGTGCTACTATACGAATCAGAGGCTAGGCGCCGCATCACAAAGGCCACTTCAAACAAACTATAGACCTTCATTCACAGATGTGTTTGCTCAATTCTACTTATGATCAGATCGCCGGCCAAAAAACATCAGCAATACGGATCTGTGGAAATGAGCGAAGCAACCCAGGAGTAACCGACTGTGCAACATATATGCAGGGAGAAATGGAGTTAAATTTGCCATACTCTGAGAACACAAGCCATCAAGTGAGTGACATCACACACCAGGCCATCGTTAGAGTGGAACCCGGCCGAATGGGAAGCGGCGAGTTGGTCGTCAGTGCGAGAGTGGAGTGTCATGGAGGAGATGATGTGAAGAGGAGATGAAAGCATGCGGGCAGAAGTGGAGCCAGGTGGAAGTGTTGGCGGAGAACCAAAACGAACGGAGACATGCGGCTGAAGCCCAATGTTCCTCTAGGAACTAAAGAAAACAATAACATAACAGAACAATAATCTTGTCATACCACAAATTTTAAGGCATTAAACGTCGCCATGTAAGTAGGTATACTTTTAAAGCCTGTCAGTTCTAAGTGTATCATGAAGGCAAGAAATATATTTCTTGGCTTAATCATTTAAGTCATCTAAATATCTAAATGCAGATTTCCACCAACTGTATTAATTGACTATATTCATTCATTGTTCTTGAGAAAAGTTCATTTGTACACTACTACAACTCTTAACATTGGTCAACTTTTATTTTCAATCTATTTTGTTCCTAATGTTGCCTTAGCCTTCATAAATGTAAGCTCAAGTGAATGTCCAATAAATGCATCCAAAATTAAGTCTATTAAGCTGGCTTTTTTTTTGATTTCTTAATTTCATACCCAGTTGTGTATTCATTATCGAAATAAGACTATTTGCTAAGCATTTCATAGTAACTTAGATACATTTACAGAGGTATATGCAAAAAGTAATGCGTTCACGTGATTTCCTCTTATTTTGTAAACTAACACGAATCAACCAACAATTTTTGTATAAGATATAACAAAGTGAATGGCACTAATATATCTTGTGCTTTTAAGTTTTTCTTCTTTTTTTTCACTTCAATCTACGATCCAATTTTTTCAATGATTATAAACTGCCACCATAGTGATGAATAAATTCCACTGATAGCTATAATCAAACTGAAAAATTCTCCAGGTACCTATCTCATCGTTCAGTATTTTAATGATGCTCTCCACACTCAGTGTGTGTACTACATAACATATACTTCACGCCATAAGAGATCCCAAATATGTCTTACTTTTAGTATGTCCAGTGTGAAGTATATCTGTGTTAAAAATGGAAAAAAAAAGATAAGGAAAAGGAAAAAAGCATTGACCAATTGAAAGAATTTAGTTCAGTGTGTCTGTCTGTCTATCTATCTGTCCGTCTATCTTCCAATCATGCACACATACCTACCTACCTACCTACCGTTATTATAATATGTGTGCGTGTTGCCCTTGTAGACAATCAAAATTGATTTCAAGATAGATTGAAAGATAGGCTGCCAATAGACAGACGGAAGTTAAAAATATCCATCCCTATATTATCAAAAATTGTAAGAGCAACATTAACAATACAAACAAATATACATTAGATTGACACCGTTGATACAAAGTAATATAGCTTGTTACTGTGATAGATAGAAATCAGTAGTAAATATCTATTACACAATACACTCTCCAAGAAATATACTTTATATTCATTCAAGTAAGCAAAGGAATATTGAGTAAAAAGAGGATTTACGGAAAAAGAGTAATTCAATGGATTATATCTAATTATAATTTTTTACTTTCAAATTGTGATAAATAAAAAGGAAACTTTCAATTTTTCCTTGTTTCATGGGCTAAATAAACATTATTATTACATAAAACAAAAACGAAACAAAAAATTTGTGATTTTTAGGATTTACTAGTAACAATACAATCAATACCTAATAAGTATTTCACTTTTTTTAAAATATAATCTATGTAGACAAATTTTTTTCAAGCTTCATTGTGTTCGTGGATTTTAAGTAACACACATAAGCGTAACACAGTTGTGTATCCATTGGATGAGTATATGTATATGGAATCTAAGTGTTTAAAATGTCTTTTGACCAATTGTTCACATGCCCAATTTATCAGGAACAGCATCCAGTTTACTGTTACCTTACAACAATTCAACTGATTGGGATAGAAGGTGAGTAAATTCAAGTCGAAAAGATTATTATTATAATTATTATCATCCATATTTTCTTGATCTGTTATTTGAAATGTAATCACTTTCGTTATCATCAAGATATATTCAAATTTTTGACATGATAAAGTGACTGAAACAAAATGTTTTTGTAGTTAACAAATAGCAGCTTCAATCAAAGATCGAGTAGGTAATATTGAAACCCTAGATACCACCTATATTATTATTATTCCCTTTGATTCCTAGAGGAACATATGGCTTCAGCCTCGTGTTTCCATTGCGTTTGATTCTCTGCTACAGTTTTCACCTGGCTCCAAGTCTGCCCACATGCTTTCATCTCCTCTTCACATGGCTTCCTCCAAGTCACCCTTGGACGACCAAATCGCCGCTTTCCTTTCGGGTTCCACTCGAGCTATGGCTTGTCTAGTGATGTCACTCACCTGATGGTTTCCTCAGTGTGCGTCGGTGGTACAGTGGTTAGGACTCTCGCCGACCATGCACATGTTCCGAAGTTCTATCCCCTGCCGACGCACACCTGATATCTATGGTCGGCCTGCAAAATTTGGGCTACCGATATCCATGCTGAAAATTCCATACTTGTACCAAAAATACAGTGTGGAATGAAGTTGTAATCAAAAATAATAATAAAAAAAATAAGTATGGCCAATCCATCTCCATTTCTTCCTGCCTATCTGTTTCGCAATCGGTTTCTGATTGGTTCGCTCCCAGAGATCCCTGTTGCTGATCTTTTCTGGCCGGCCATCTGATCTTGAGTGGTATAGAGTGAAGACAGCTGTTGATGAAGGTGTGTAGTTTGTTTGAAGTGTTCTTTATGATGCTCCAAGTCTCTGATCCGTATATAAAGTGTCAATGACTTCACATTGGATTTGAAAATCCGGATCTTATTTTTGGTGCTGAGTGCTGTTGACCTGCACACATACTTGAGAGTAGTGAAAGCCTGCCTCGCTTTCATATCCTCGTCAGTTCCGTCCTCCTGTAGTTGAAATGATGCTTCCCAGGTAGGTAAAGGAGGTTGTTTCTTTCAGGTTCCTCCCACCTATATATCGACCAATAAAATGTAAGCCCATAGGAAATATCCTCCAGTAGTTAGTTATCTAACTTCCCATCATTATTAACTGTAACTACTGCACACTACTGCAGCGGTGGCACAGTGGTCAGGACTGTCGCCAACCATGCACAAGCTCTGGCCGGCCTGGCACACCTGATGTCAATGGTCGGCCTGCTAAATTCGGGCTACCGATATCACATGCTGAAAATTGCATAATTGTACCAAATTACAGTGTGGTATCTAGCTTAAATAATAATCCTTTGCTAAAGACCTCCTTCACGATCCAGTAAGAGATACTTTAGTATGTCAAAGCTGTGTTTTCGTGGTGTAGGTAAAAAAACAACTATAATGGAGAAGATTTGTAGCTCATGTGGGTGATATTGAATTAGTTGTATTCTAAACCAGCTCAGAGAAGACAAGAAATTCATGAGGAAACTAAATCCAAAGTATTTGTTAAGACCTAAATAGTGTTGATAGTATTACTGCAGTTCTAAGTGAAATTAATGCATCTGTGATAATAATAATAATATGATTGCGCACCAGTTAAAATACAGAAGATTAGACCGCTGTCCAAACTAAATAGAAGAAGTGGTTTCCAGGTAACGTTTTTGTAGAACAGATGTTTCGGATCCAAAATTCAGCAGTTGTATTCTTATTTTTCGAAACTTCATGCATTTATTCCCCTTGATGTATCTGATTGAATAAAGCAAGAACAACAGTGGTTTAGGCAGAATAGTATGGTACCATCACTGTTTATTTCACCGGCTTCTCAAACATAAATACAACATTAACCCCATTAAATCACTTTCAGTAATACGACCGCTAAAGAGGGAAGGTTGGGCATAAAAATAGAAATCCCATCACGTAAAAGTAAACACTACTACTATAACATTAAATCTCTAGCTGAGAACGTAAAGGAATAAAAAATTTCTTTAATGTAGAGTCGTGATTGTCAACTGCTGAATAGTACCGTACTAGGACGAAACAGCTGTTAAGTGCTCCTTGGAATGCAATAATCTCTAAATCTTTTGCGACACAAACTGCAATGAAGAATGTATATAAAATAAATACGTGGCATTCGTTAGTGAATATATATTGCTTATAAACATCTCGAATGCTTTGCTAACTCACTACCCGGAAAAGTACCATGAACTTTTCGAAAATGAAAATTAACTAACAATAAATAAAAAGAACTTTGATGAAGTTTAATTCTTCAACACTTTATTTCGTAAAATTTATGTAGGTATAGCTAAAAACAGCTAAATGTAGGCATAAGTTAGTCTTAGCGTAGTACAAAATACCACAAAACACTAGTATGACATTGCTTAAAATCCGCGTTTCTTTATCTGTCAAGAAAACGCTATCATCAATCCATAAATAACACCAACGCTTGAGTTCATAATTCAGCTATTCCGATACTTATGTATTAATGCTTACAACACAATATAAGTGATGATGTTAAGAGCTAGCTCTCTGACAGACTAATTCTACATTAAGGAGTGTCGTTATAAGACACCGTGTCTTGCTCTGAGAACTCTGAGAACAATGCAATCTTGTCGCGTCTTTAAAGCCTAATTAGTTTCATCAATTGTGGACCTATAATACGTGCCATCAAGCTGCACTTTTGATTAGCACGCGGAATACTACAAAAAAGAATAACTGGAATGAAGATAAATTATTAGAGTTTGAAGTTGACATTGTAGACACAAATATTTTAAAATCGAGAAATCGAGTGAATCTAAGCCATTCCCACTGCATCCTGCTCAACGTGGGCCGTTAAACACAACTAGTCTGTTATTACTTGTAATTGAGGTATCTTTGCAGTTTTCCTGTTTTCTCTGCCTCTTCAAACTTTCAAACAAACTGGCTGAGGAGGCAGTGAAAACAGGACTGCAGGTGAACACAGAGAAGACGGAGGTGATGAAGACAACCAAAGAACCTCAACAGCAACAATAGCCAGCACCAATCACCATCAACGGGAGAGATTTGACAGAGGTGACCCTCATTCACTTATCTGGGAAGCACCGTTTCATTAACGGAGGAAGTCGGAACGGATGAAGATGTCACAGTCACACACACAATCGGAAAGGCAAGAGATGTCTTCATCAACCTGGAACCAGTTTTTCAAAATCTTCTACACTCAGCCAGCATAAGGAACAAGATTCTCATTTTCAACACGAATGTGAAGTCGGTCAGTGCTTCTATACGGGTCAGAAATGTGCACTGTGTGCCTTGGAAAGGATTTCCAGCAGGTTTCAGACTTTTATCAACGACTGCCCCTTCCATTGGCTGGCTCTATACTGAAGATCAAAAGGCCAGCTGGTCAGAAAGAATAAGCAACAAGAAACCCTGGCTGGGAACAAACCAACCAAGAGTCGACAGCTCAACAAATATGTAGGAGAAAGTCGAGATGGATCGAGCATACACTCAGGAAGTTGCAGAATGACATCGTGAGCATTACCGACCATAACTTGAGTGGAATCCAAATGGGAAGCGATAAGTAGGTCATCAGTGAGAAAGTGACATGGAGGACATAGTGTGAGGAAGAGATGAGAGAGTTCGGTCGATCATGGACCCAGCTGGAGAAGGCTGCAGAAAACAGAACAAGGTGGAGATGTGTTGTTAAAGCCCTATGTTCCACTCAGAATATAAGAGAATAATAAAATAAATAAATGCAGTCATAATGTGCAGAGCAAGCAAGATAGGGAAGAAAAGCATCTACTATGGACCGAAGTTGCGATTTATTTCAGAAGATGGAAATCAAAAGAATGATTAGGAAAACATTCGATCAATAGAAGTTTTGTGTAGATTTTCATGTGTTATTAAATATTTAGAAAATAGATTGAGCAATATGGGTTGACCTAATAACCTTCCTCAACTGAAATTCACCTATTCTAAAATATGTCAAACATTCTTGAATAAGCATTGTGCGATTTCTTTGCATAGATTGAACCTGCTCCGGTCACTACGTCTTCAAAAGACAAAGGAATTATAGTTCATGCATTGAAGACTTGTCAAGGGATATCTAACAAGTCTTTAGAAAACTCTTTTACTAAATTTCTTTTAATAAACATATCTGATACATTACCAATCAATGGTTTAAGAAAAGTGTGTATTCTCTCCAGTATACCGTCAAATGCTAAACTTCCTGATTCATCTGAATAATGGCAACTGGTATCTTTCAAAAGTGTACAATATCAAACATCAAGCGGACTAAAGTCTTCATACAGTAACTGTGCGGAAAATCAATTACAAAAAAGATGCTGTCGAAATCAAAATAACTGCAAAGCACATATTTATTTAATTGAATTTAAGATTTTCCCGTCAATCGATTGGACCGAAGTGCTCGGTCTCAGGTTGACATATTGGCTTCTTAAGCATATGCTTCGACGATGTCTGGGCATGTTATTAAAATTTAATTGGTTGATGGTGACTAGCAGTAGGATCTAAGATGCGCGTGTCGTCTTATTTGGGACTCGCCAGCTGGATGTACCTGCACCCCACCCCTAAATTAAATAATTAAATTATTTAATTATGTATGTGACCCGTTGCACAAGAAGTGGCTCTCGAGGCCCAGGTGGCCTAGTGGATAATGCTTTGGTGATTGAAACTATGGGTACTGGATTGGAGCCTCAGTGGGAACATCATAACTAACTCAGGGAAATTTTAATTTTTTTAATTTTTGATTTACAGCTTGATTCCACACTGTATTTTTGGTACAAGTATGGAATTTTCAGGATGAATATCGGTAGCCCAAATTTTGCAGGCCGACCATAGATATCAAGTGTGCGCCGGCGTGGGCTCGAACCCCGGACCATGTGGATGGTCGGCGAGAGTCTTAACCAGATGACGAGTCCCAAATAGGACGAAATTCTCATCTTGGATTCCATCAGTTAAATCGTAAAGCACATATCTATGGAAAAAATGTCAGTAC